GATGTTTGGATGGCAATGAAATGTCACAGAAACAGTCAAAATGCATCTTTTCTTTAAAGAGTTAAAAAAAAGGAGGTAGCTTTCGTGAAGCAACAGGGTTCCAAAAAGGACATATTGCCATGTGTCTCTAGGGAATTAGCATATAATTTTCTAAGACATACTCAAAATATTTCTGCATTACATTTGGAAGGAATGCAGGCTATAAGGTTTGAAATATTGATCCTCAAAAAAAGACATTTCAAAATGGAAGAACAACCATTTTGTCATAAGGCTGAGCATGCATGCTTCCCAGCAAGAATGTTAAGTAGATACGTTGTTGTCGGGTAGGTGGCGCTTGTCAGCCATGGAAGGCAGCCCATCTAGGAGAAGGAAAACTCCGATTTCAAACCTGCACTGCCTTCTGGCTATATCCATTCATGGAAAAGGCTTCAGGAGTTAACCTAGAGGCAAAATCCGGAGCTGGAGTCCCGGAGGCAGTTCGTGTCGTTCTGCCAACTCCTGTGACGTTGCTGGAACCAGTTGTATTGGGTCTTGCCTTTCCATTGGACCATTTCAGCAACATGGAGAGGGGGGATCTGCTGCTTGGGTAACAGCCTATCCTCCATATTACTTTACCCAGGCTCCATGCTCTGGAGGGGACACTCCTCAATTCAGAGCATGTTACCATAGTCTTTCAAGACTGAAGGATGCCTATGATGATGTTGTTGTAGCATCATGACCCAGAAAGGGAGATGTTTGGAAGGCAATGAAAGGTCACAGAAACAATCGAAAGAGAGTTTTTCTTTAAAGCGTCAAAAAAGCAGGCTTGCTTTAAAGAAAGTAATAGAGTGACAGTGCTCCAGAAAGAAATGTTTTGCCAAGTATCTCAAGGGAATGATCATGCAGTTTCGTAAGGCATAGTCACAGTATTTCTGCATTACAAAGTACAGAGCAGTTGTACGTGTCCCAGCCCTGAATACTTCCAGTAAACATTCTCCTGGGATTTCTGAGACCACTCCTGACAGAAGTCTTTGAAGGGAAAATCAGCTCCTGGTCTGGGGAAATCTGAACTTTTGACTCTCAATCAGGATCCAATTAGGTGACTCTCAGGAGAATTTTTTAACTCCTTCCTGGCAAAACAGGCATTGGTGCTGGGAATGGGATTCTGTGCCTGGTTGTAAAAATATCTAAAAAGATATTTTAAAACATGGAGAAGAAATATTCAGAAGCTCACTTTTTTAAGCTATAAAATTAGTGGTTTTTTCCTTGTGCTTGCTACCAATCACACTTGTCAAAAAGGCCTGTTACTTTGTATTCGGATGAGAAGTGGGGAAATGATGAAAAAAGGAGTCAGCTTCTGGAATTTTCCCTTGCTTGATGTCACTCTCTGAATGGTGGTGAGCTCAAGAGGGCATCCTGTGCAGAACATGTTGACTGCTGCCATTTGTCAACATTTAGGCTGCCCTTTGCTATGTAAAGTTTGGCATCCTTTTCCTGCTGGAGATATAACCAGAACATTATGCATCAAGCCATTTCCTGACATTTTCAGTTGTGGATATAGAAGCACAATATCTCACATTCATAAACCAGAATTTTTAAATAATTGAATTCCTTTTTTATATTACTTCCTCTCAGGAACTAAAGGGGAACCACTCTGTGTGCACATATGTGTTCACTCTGTATAGGCTTCATGGTGCACACAAGGTAGCTTACAACAAAATTTGCATTTCACTTACATTTTCCCCTTAATCTTTTAGACCCCATCTATGTCTTTTCCCCTGCCTCATTAACTCTAGTAAGTCTTGAAAGGAAATTATTCTCATAGCAGTTTTAACCATATTAGGTTTCTTCCTGGAAATACTTTAATGCCAATATGACATGCTTAGAATGTGGTAGCCAAAGATGTTTACTCAATAATCAGATGTGCTCATAACAGTTGTTTTTAGGAAATATTTCTGAAGATTTTACTGTAATCACGCTGAGAAAATCTTGCTTGCTCAGGATGGATGGAATTTCAGCATAGATTTTCCAGTAATTAAAGCATGCAAGTAATACATGCCATGACCATGCAATCTTTCTATATCATTTGTCAAGATTCAGCTTCTACCATTGTGAGTCTGGGAGAGTGCAAAATGTTAAAAACTAAGCAGATGGTCAGTGGAGACCTGTGATATTTTCCTAATGCATTCATTTATTTTTATCCTGGGATCTATTATGGTGGCTCAAAAAGCTGTATAGACAGCTGCCCTATTTAAGTTCACATTCTTCTGACAATTCCTTTTATGCTCATTCCCCGTTCCTCTTGTTGTGGATCCTGTTAATTTTCCTCCCTGAAATTAAAAGCTTTTCAGCCTGTCAGTTTTCTTATTCAGACTGAACCTCACTCTGCAGAACTTCACTCTTTGCAAAACCTCCATTATTAACAAAGTGTTTCACTGTCAAAATGAACAAAATTTAACTGATTATGAACAAGAGATCTTGCCATGCTTGGCTTTGTTTAAGGTGACGATCACATAGTAGGGCTCCATAACGGCTTACACTGAAATACAGCAATTCTTTGGCATTTGTTCCACCAAAAAGAATAAAGAAACACATTGGCCATTCATAAGTGCAAACCTGTTCAACTCCTTAGCAGCAGATTTGCTCTGGTTAGGGAAAAATTGATTGCCATAACAGCAATGTATTTGCATATGAACTAAAAAGTTGGATTCTCTTTATGCCACTGTAATATCTTTTCAAAATTCTCATTTTTGCAAACATTACCAAGGGGAACAGAGGCAAAACCCCTCAAATACATTATTCCTGGAGCCCTTTTTTTTCTGAAATAAGTACAAGAGGGCTTTTGAATTACCAGTTCTTCTACATTTAGTACAGTTGTTGAATTGCAATGATTAAACTCCTGACTGAAACTGTCATTGCAAAGAAACAAAGCAAGAAACAAGATTGGGGTCAGTGTGGCTGTTGTTTAGAGTGCTGGACTGAGACTTGGGAGATCCATGTTCTACATCCTAAAACCCACTGAGCCAGGATATGCACTGAGGTTGCTTCCCCTCATATGACACAGAAGAACAATCTAGCACTAATCCTCTTTGCTCCAGGTTTTCCTGTTGCTTTCAGAGAAAACTTCACTTTGAAGTGGATCTGTCAGTGTAGTATGCAGTGATAGACCAAATCTGCTTCAGATTATTGGATCAGTGGGTGTTAAAAGGTTTTCCTCTCAAGGGACTACAATGACTAATTTCTAGCAGCTCCCTCCTTCCCATTCTTTTCTTGATCCTTATTCCTTTATTTCCATTTCCATTTCTGTGACCTGCCATAGGAAACCCTCACCACCCCTACAACCAGCCAGTTTTTTTACCTTTCCTGTCCATGGACATGCAGATATGGAGTTGCACACTAGGCTTTTTAAAAACCAAGAACCAAAAAGCATTTCTTTATGTGCACCACCAATAACCTGGACTGGATGGTGGTAGCATGTTACTTGCCAAGTGCTACCCAAGCATTTCAGCCATGAACCAAATTTGATGTAACTTCAGCATAGTTCCTTCATTTAGATCTGGCTACTTGTCATTATTGTCAATCTGAGAAAATAAAGATGCTTTTGAATGCTAGATAAATCACCATCATAGAAAGGGAAAAATGTGTCCATTTCACCTAAGGACAATGCTGTTGGAGTAATAATATTTTTAATTGAGAAATGCTTAACTAATAATATTTTATTTATTTATTTATTTGATTTTTACCCCGCCCCTGTAGACCATAAAAGTCTTCTTACAGGTGTTGATTAAATGATGAAATTTTACAGGCTATTTATTCTGCATACTTTGTTCTAGTACCTGATTTTTCATCCATGCAAATAACACTGCTTTTATTAGGACTGCTCTAAAATCAAATGTGTATGTGTGTATATGAGGGGTGCTTTTTAACTTAGAAATTAGATAATGACACTGCTTCTCTCACTGCATGTAGTCTTGGGCTAATAATACAGTCAACCCTCAACTTACGAACTTAATCCGTTCTGGAACAGCATTCGTAAATTGAAAAGTTCGTAAGTCGATTTCCCATTTCCCATAGGAATGCATTGAAACCCCGTTAATCCGTTCCGGCGGAATAAAAAAAATACATATACATATACATATACATATACATATACATACATACATACATACATACATACATACATACATACATACATACATACATACATACATACATACATACATACAGTGGTGCCTTGCTTAACGGGCGCTTCGTTTAACGACAAATCCGCATTGTTTGTATGTATGTATGTATGTATGTATGTATGTATGTATGTATGTATGTATGTATGTATACATACACACACACACACGCTGTGAGACCAGAGGCGAGACAATAGAAGTCCTCACTGGAGTATCATCCTCAGTTAAAAGAGAACGCGAGACCCAGACAGCAGCTCTGACTTCACACGCTGCGGTCAGACACCAGGGGGTAGACACAGGAACAGGGGATGATGAGAATCTCTGTCGCTACACAGACCCAGCTAGAAAAGGCGGGAACTGAAGTATCTGAGAGACTGTTGATAGAGGCGGGGCACAGGGAGGTGGAGCAGGAGAGAGACAAGATACCAGGGGGATGGGAGTGGATCTGGGTAGAGGATCCATGGACAGGGAGAAGTGAGAGGGTGAGGGTGCCTCGTGAGGAGGCAGATTACAGGAGAAGAGATTTACCCCCCAGACCGTCATACTGGGGTGAGAAAGAGGCTGGGGAGTGGAGAAGATGTTTGAGGGAGGAAAAGGAGAAAGTGGAACAGGAGGAAAGGGAAAGGAAGGCATGGCGACTGGAGGAGGCTCACCTGAAGAAGTCTTTACCGGACCCTGGGACCCCTATGCTGAGGGGAGCGACCCCTCAGACTTGGAGAGGGGAGACGAAGAGACATTACCTTTGATTGAGGTAGATGTGCACCAAACATTGCAAGCCCCTGGGCCTGCAAAAAACAACCTCACCAGCCCACCCTGAAAAAGGAAAAAGCAGCACCTTACCTCGACTGCTGCTGCCGGGCCAGGGCTCCGCCGTGAACTTTGGTGGGTTTTCTGGTGAGCAAGCCTCACTCAGTTCGGGGCTGAGGGGTTTAACCAAGAGTAAGCGCCCTCCTTCCCATGCCCCACCTTCTTCTTCCTGAACTCGAGGGAGTTCCCAGGACCCAGCTTGCCAGGACATGCGAGTGTTGTCCGTTCTTCCGAGCATGGGGGGGGAAAAGGCTGGATCACCTTTCTCTCCCACCCCACGGCTTCTCCTGAAGGGCTGCTCCCAATGGCTTTTGCAGCAGCAGAAAAGCCACGTGGGGGGGAATGTGATCTGCAAAGCCATTGGGAGCAGCCCTTTGGGAGAAGCTGCGGGGTGGGAGAGAAAGGCGATTGGCACCTTCGGAGCTCTCAAAGTGCTTCCTCTGATGTCAGGCGGAAAGCCCTTTGAAAACTCCGAAGGTAAACAGGCAGGGAGAAAGGGCAGGAAATTCGAATTCCTTTTTGCCTTCAGAGTTTTCAAAGGGCTTCCTCCGATGTCGGGGGAAAGCCCTTTGAGAGCTCTGAAGGCGACGAACGGCTCTGCTTGCAAAAAAAAAATGGCATTGACCAAATGGTGCAGAATGCGATGGCCAGATTTCTCAGTGGAGTGAGGAAACACCAACATATCATTCCCACCCTGGCCACCTTGTATTGGTTGCCCGTATGCTTCCTTGTTGATTTTGAAGTTTTAATGATTACATACAAAGCCCTAGATCAGGGGTGACAAATTCAAATTCATCGGGGGCCGCATCAGCAGTTTGGTCCCCATCAAAGGGCCGGTTGTATCTGTAGGTTAACTTGAGCCATTTTTAAAATGAATTTACAGTGGTGCCTCGCACAACGGGCGCCTCGTAGAGCGATGAATTTGCTCTACAGGGACGTTTTTTCGATCGCTAATGCGATCGCAGAGCGACGGCCCAAATGGGTGAAAATCGCAGAGCGAAGGTCGGTAAGTGGTTCGCTTACCGACCTTCG